CAGCTCTTGGGCTTAGGCGATTCTCTTGCCTCAGCCTCCTGAGTAGCTGGGACTACAGGCGCCTACCACAACACCTGGCTATTTTTTGTTGCAGTTTGGACGGGGCCGCGTTTGAACCCGCCACCCTCAGTATATGGGGCCGGCACCCTACTCACTGAGCTACAGGTGCCGCCCAATGCCTGGCTATTTTTAGACATGGGGTCTCGCTCTAGCTCTGTCTGGTCTCAAACCAGTGAGCTCGGGCAATCTACCCATCTCGGCCTCCCACAGTGCTAGGATTACAGATGTGAGCCACAGAGCCAGGCTTTGGACCAAACAAGTTTCAAATTACTGAGTCTTAATATCCTTACCTAAATGTGGGATGACAACAGCATTCACCTCACAGCGTGACTCGAGCATGAACTAAGATTATGTTTGCAAAGGGAAAGCACAATATTTGGCATAAGAAGCTTAATCAAAAGTATTATGAATATGCATTGAAATGTCCTTACCCACAAATATCCAGTAACATTACTAATTAATTCTTTAGGAGAAATTCCTAGAAGTATAAATGGCTCAGATATAAGACCAACCACTTAGAGGGTAATTACATTGTGAAACTATTCTTCAAAAGATGTGAGTGAACGTAGTCTGCATTAGAGAAGCAGCTCACCTTTTGGGTCGAGGAAGGCCCATGGGAGTAAGATTAGGATCTGGCCTAGGAATGGTTTTCCGGATGCGAATCTGCGAGACTTTCTTTGGCCTCTTCTCTGGCTCAGCCTATTTTTAGGGGTTAACAAGAAAGATGGTCAAATTGTGAGATGTTTTGTTTTCTTTCTTTCTTTTTTTTTTTTTGAACAGAGTGTCCCACTTTGTTGCCCTCAATAGAGTGCCATAGCATCACAGCTCACCGCAGCCTCTAACTCTTGGGCTGAAGCAATCCCCTTGTCTCAGCGTCCCAAGCAGCTGAAACTACAGATGCCCACCACCCAGCCTCAGGAGATGAAGGTAAGGTCACAGATAAGGTTTTCCTGTTTCTTTTTTTTTTTTTTTTTTTTGCAGTTTTTGGCCAGGGCTGGGTTTGAACATGCCACCTCCAGCATACAGGGCCAGCACCCTACTCCTTTGAGCCACCACAGGCACTGCCCCTTTTCTTTTTCTTTCTTTCTTTTTTAAATAAATAAAATGTTAAGTACTTGTGTGTTTCGACCCTGCCTTGCCCCAAACCAGGACTCAGTGTGGTAAGCTCAGCTTTAAGGAACCCAACCTAGTTTTGATCAATTGTACAGGGTAGGCAGGTGAGACGGTGAGGATCTGTAAGGCCATAATACAGATGAGGAACCTGAACCTCAGCAAAGAATGAAGGCTCAATTCCAAAGGGCGGTGAGGAGGGCTGGGACTTTGATCTTGGTTGTCTTCATCACAGCATACTCCCTCATTGATCATAGCCTAATTTAGCAGAAATCACATGTTCAATCCACACTGTATTTATTACTGGAACCACTCACATAGTACAATTCCCCAAGAGGGCTTTTCTTTTCCATGTTATTGCCCCAAAGGAGAACTACGTAGAGATAGGGGTCTCACTCTTGCTCAGGCTAGTTTCAAACTCCTGAGCTCAAGTGATCCACCCACCTCAGCCTCCGAGAGTGCTAGGATTATAAGCTTGAGTCACCACATTTGCCCTTTTTTTTTCTTTTCTTTTTGAGACAGGGTCTGGCCTTATTGCCCAGGCTGGTCTCAAATTCCTGGGCTCAAGCAATTCCCACCTTAGCCTCCCAAGTAGAAGGGACTGCAGGTGCACACAACCTTTATTCTTCTCTGCTGTATACCTGAAGAGTTGTCTTGGGCTACGTATTAAATATACAAACACTGATAAGCAAAAATAAACAAGTCTGTGCATAATATTCACGATATCTGATACCACAGAAACAGTCCTCAAATAATCTACATGCAGCCTGAGAGCCACAGGTTGGACACTCCTGCAACATTGGCAAGAAAAACGGATCTGTAAAACAGTGCAGCCCAAGGAATCCAGTGTACCCTTCACTGGCCAAGCAGAAAAACTCTCTAGGACTCAGTGGAAGGTGATGGTGGTAAGTAAAGCCAGTCTGTACCCGTCATGTGAAAGGAGTCAGTCATGGCCACCTCCCATGTCCTGTCACCTGACCCCACCAGCACTTCATTCACACTTACCTCTTTCTGTTCTGGAGGGCTGCTCTGTGGGCAGGGACATGCTACTGTCACACCATCCAACTCATCAAATCCAGGAACTTGGAAGTCAGAGGCTGAAAGCAGGAGCTTGCTCACAGCTGATTCTGTTACCAAGCAAGACCTTGGTACCAAGGCAGAGAATGTAGGTTCTAACCTAGCACCGTAGAGAGAAAGAAAAATATGAGAAGGGTTTCAACTTCTCCAGACAAGAGTTGAAGACTCCTTCTCTCCAGAAATGACATCACTAGTCAACTTCTTTTCTAGCTGCTTCTAGATATCACTTGTGTTTAGCTATGTAAAAAACTACAAGAATGTGGTCAATCCATTTCATTGGCACGGAGTTTTATAAAAAAAAAAAATGTAAAAAGGAACAGATTTTGGTAGGAAGAAGAGACATATTGAACTAAACAAATTAACAGTGTTTAGAGGAGGTCAATCTGAGACTGAAGCTGGCTAAACAAGGAGACAAAAAAATTTGAGACTTCTGGTGTAGTAAACTGGCTAGTCATTTTTGCCTAAAAAAAATTAAAAAGATAGTATTGATAACACGTCCCTAATTGCTAGCTGTAACAGAAGACACGTGAATCCCAGTGATGTTTACCTGAGAGACGTGGATCAGGTTTACAAGGACAAGAGGTCAAGTGGTGCCATGCCTGACCTCTGTCACCTTCACACACATGCACATGCATTCTCTCTCACATACACCGCCCCCCCGACCCCCTTGTACTTACCTCATCTGACTGCCTCTGGTGTTATATGAAGCTTCCACGCCTGGGAGAGGCACATATGGTAATATGGTGTGGCTGAGGTGAAGTAAAAGTACAAAAGCAATAGGTTAGGGCAGTTAGGGACCACAGGAAAGGTGTTGATGCCATTGTGTTTGCACACAATCCTTTATTAGAGCCCCAGGAAGATAAGAAATGTCAGTTACTTTGCATCCAACCAGAAGAATTACATTTATGTGCCATGAATGGTATTGGGGCAGGCTGACAAGAAGATTGTTTTCTAATTTAAATGGAAAAAAATTAGAGAAATAAAGAGAGGACAGTAAGAGAAGGAAAGAAAACAGTAACTTTGAGCTCCTCCTTCTAATCAAGTTGAACATATATATATTAAAAATTTTCTAAAAAATAATTTAAAGATAAAAATACATTAAACTACTAGCTCTATATTAATTCTTTTCTTTCTTTCTTTTTTTTGAGACAGAGCATCAAGCTGTCGTCCTGGGTAATGCACCATGGCATCACAGCTCACAGCAACCTCCAATTCCTGGGCTTAAGTGATTCTCTTGCCTCAGTCTCCCAAGTAGCTGGGACTATAGGCCCTGCCACAACACCTGGCCACTTTTTGGTTGCAGTTGTCACTGTTGTTTGGCAGGCCTGGGCTAGATTTGAACCCACCAGCTCTGATGCCTTAGCCGCTTAAGCCACAGGTGCCAAGGCATTTTTTTTTGGAGATAATCTCACTTTGTCTCCCTGGGTAGAGTGCTGTGGCTTCACAGCAACCTCAAACTCTTGGGCTTACGTGATTCTCTTGCCTTAGCCTCCTAAGTAGCTCGGACTACAGGCGCCCGCCACACCGCCTGAATATTTTTTGGTTGTAGTTTGGCCAAGGCCAGGTTTGAACCCACCACCCTTGGTATATGGGGCCGGTGCCCTACTGAGTCACAGGTGCCGCCCAATAAACCAATGGGTTTATTTTTTATTTATTTTTATTTGCAGTTTGGCCTGGGCTGGGTTCAAACTCACCACCCTCAGTATGTGAGGCTGGCACCCTACCCACTAACCCACAGGCACCACCCCCAACCTGTATTTTTTTAAAAGTTTATTGACAACATCTCTGTCCACAGTTAGGGCAACTTTTATTTTTCAGACAAGGTTTCATTCTGTCACCTGGGGTAGAGTGCAATGGCATCATTGTACCTGGTGGCAACCTCAAACCCCTGCCTCAAAGTCCCAAGTAACTGGGACCACCGATGTGTGCCACAATGCTCTGCTAATTTTTCTTTTTTTTTTTTTTTAAGAGACAGAGTCTCACTTTGTCACCCTCGGTAGAGTGCCATGTTGTCATAGCTTACAGCAACCTAAAACTCTTGGGCTATGTGATTCTCTTGCCTCAGCCTCCCAACTAGCTGAGACTACAGGTGCTGCCACAATGCCTGGTACTTTTAGAGAGGAGGTCTCGCTCTGGCTCAGGCTGTCTTGAACCTAGGAGCTTAGGCAATCCAGAATGCTGGGATTTCAGGTGTGAGTTATAGCACCCAGCCTTTTCTATTTTTTGTAAAGATGGGGATCTCACTCTTGCACAAGCTGGTTTTGAACTCCCAGCCTCAAACAATCCTTCTAGTTTGGTCTCCCAAAGCACTGGGATTACAGGTATGAGCTATGGGCTCAGCCCAACCTCTATTGCACAGTGCTGAAGAACAAGGTTCAAATGAGAAAATTCTATGGGGCGGTGCCCATAGCACAGTAGTTACAGTGCCAACCACATGCACTGAGGATGTCAGGTTTGAACCTGGCCTGGCCAGCTAAACATCAGTGACAATTGCAACAAAAAAAAAATAACCAAGGGCAGCACTTGTGGCTCAGTTAGTAGGGTACCGGCCCCAAACGCCAAGGGTGGCGGGTTCAGACCTGGCCCAGCTAAACCGCAACAAAAAAACAGCTGGGCGTTGTGGTGAGCACCTATAGTCCCAGCTACTCGGGAGGCTGAGGCAAGAGAATCACCTGAGCCCAGGAGCTGGAGGTTGCTGTGAGCTGTGTGATGCTGCCACGGCACTCTATGGAGGGCAATAAAGTGAGACCCTGTCTCTCTCTTTTTTTTTTTTTGAGACGGAGCCTCAAGCTTTCCCCCTGGATAGAGTGCCATGGCATCACAGCTCACAACAACCTCCAACTCCTGGGCTCAAGCGAGTCTCCTGCCTCAGCCTCCCAAGTAGCTGGGACTACAGGCACCCGCCACAACGCCTGGCCATTTTCTGGCCGCAGCCATCATTGTTGTTTGGCGGGCTGGGGCTGGGGACCCGAACCTGCCATCCCAGGTGTATGTGGCTGGTGCCCTAGCCGCCTGAGCCACAGGCGCTGAGCCAAGACCCTGTCTCTTAAAAAAAAATAATAACCAAGAGTTGTGGTGGGTACCTGTAGTCCTAGCTGCTTGGGAGGCTGAGGCAAGAGAATCACTTAAGCACAAAAGAGTTTGAGGTTGCTGTGAGCTGTGACACCATAGTACTCTACTGAGGGCAACATAGTAAGACTCTGTCTCAACTAAAAAAAAAAAAAAGAGAGAGAGAAAATTCTATGGAAATTATAATAAATCCTTGCTAAATCTTGTTTTCTGGAGCTACCCAATCTATCTTGCCAGAAAACATTCTAAGTATGTTCAGAAAAACAGCAGCCTCTCTAAACTTTGAGCCCAGGCACTTTTAAAGCCAATGAGACAAAAAATTCCCTACAAAGGGCCCTTTACCTCCAGCTTCCACTTGAATTTAAATAAAATGAAACCCAGACATAGGAAGGGATTAAAAAAAAATTCTACATAAAGAAACAGAAAAGTCAAGTAAGAAACAGTTCTGGAAGAGGAAAAAGGGGCAAGGATAACACTTTCACAGGGTGAAATATCTACCATCTACACTAAATTTAGGAATATAGTTTAAAGAAAGCAGTATAATTTAAAGCTGTGCACAACAATCATGAGATTTTTAGAGGCATATCAACAAACCAGACAATAAAAGCAGTGTACCATCATTTAAAATAATCTGATTAATTATAATTTATTTTTATGGCTGCCTTACAAAAAGTGAATAGTAATTCATCTTTCAATTTCAATCAGTAATGAATGGTCAGGTTCTAGGGTACTTTTCTGAAATCCTTTTAGTTTTCTGCTAAGATGCTCAGAGCACTACACAATATGCATAAGTAGCTTTTTAATGATACAGCATAATTCTAAACCAGGATTAGTAGCCATGTGTCTATAGTCTCAGTCACTTGGAAGGCTGAGGCAGGAGGAGGATTGCTTGAGTCTAGGAGTTCAAATACAGCCTGGGCAACAGGTCTGAAAAAAAATTAAAAAAAGAATGATTCGGCTC